CTCATACTTTTAAAAAAATCGTCATTCCATTTTTCATCAAAAACAAGATATAATATATGTATCTTGTAAAACGGTTATTAGTTTCTATAAACAAATTATAAATATAATGTAAATATATAAAAAAATTACTTGCAAAATATTAATTTGTGAAATATGTATAGCTTAAGATCTACTTATTAAGATTATTATTATTTATAAGTTTGCAGTTATAAATAGTTATAAAAACTTGCTTTACAGTGAGAGAACTTACAATCATATTTTTTGAAATTTCATCAACTAATATAATTTCTTTTAGCATACATATGCGTTCTCTTTTTGTACGATATCAATAAAACCATGATCGACATATTCAACACATTTTGCAATGTAACCATCTACATTCATTTTGTATGTTTATTTATTATCCCGTTTATTTATAACCTGCAGCAATGGCTGTAATTTTTGCAGATATAGAATATGTAACAACATGTTGGCCGGTGCTGTATATAGCTATATGCGCTTATATGTATATTTTGTTACATGCAAGTGACCTGGATCTTTCAAAATTCTTCTAATCATATATACGTTATATATGATTCAAACTTAATTTTTAAGATAAGTAAAAATCTTATAAAATTAGTTAATTTATTTTTTGTTTAATCTTTTTCAATATTTTGTATTGTCAGATTAATTAAAAAAATATTACTTTACTATTAATATATCTTTCAAGTGTAATTTTTTAAAAATATTATTTTATTTATATATAATATTAAATAATTTTATAATTATATTTACAAAAATTATATATTATATAATTTGTATGCTAAAAGAAATTATATTAGTTGATGAAATTTAAAAAAATATGATTGTAAATTCTCTCTCACTGTAAAGCAAATTTTTATAACTATTTATAATTTATATTTTATATATAACATAGAATAGAGCTTTTTTCCGGCCAGCAATAATATTTATGCCTCTGAACATATATTCACATTTATAGTATATTTATGTATATTTATGCAAGAAGCAATCGTGTTTGTGTGATGTAATTGTAAATAATGTCACTGCAAAGATGCAGTTGTAAATACGTTACTGCAAAGTATAATGCAAAGATGTTATTTTTCTGCAAATTTTTATATCGTTTACCTACTCCGAGAGAGAGAGAGAGAGAGAGAGAGAGAGAGAGTGTGTGTGTGTGTGTGTGTGTGTGTGTGTATCATTAAAGGAAATATTGTGATTTGTATAGTGCCCGATATAACATTGTCACCAATAATCTCATTCCTATTTCCGTTCACGCTCACACTGTCGCAGAACGAAATAATATCGATATTCAACAGCACTGCGAGCCACAACGCATCGGCTTTTGTGACCGCAAGATTTAAATATCTATTATCCATTGCGGACCGCGAGCTGTTCGCTCTATCTGTCGCAGCGATCGGTATTTCCGCGTGGAACCGCCACCTTTTTTTCCTTCCGTTCCAACAGCACAGCTAATCGAGATTTATTTTTGTCCCATCAGTATTATTTTCTCTAGCACGAAAAAACAATGTGTGTGTATGTATGTATGTATGTATGTATGTATGTATGTATGTATGTATATGTATGTATGTATATGTATGTATGTATATGTATGTATGTATATGTGTGTATATGTGTGCATGCGTATATATATATTTGTTTGCGGAAATATTATTTTTACCAGCGCGATGCAGTGGTGTGCAAAAAAATGATTTCCGCCCTCGCGGAAATCGTGAATATATGAGTAACTTATTTTACAAATGATCTTCGATGTGGAATAACAGGAGTGACGCATCAATGAACCGCAAACAATTGCTGAACGCTGAAATTGCTTGCAGGGCTTATTAACTCATTCAATCTCGAATTACCCTTCTCTCGTGTTAAAAAATAAATCTCACTCTTCATCGTAACACAATATCGCATTTAATAATATTTAAATGAAGGCAAATTATTAATTAAAATTTAAAGTGTGATATTCAAATCGCACGAGAAACGAAATTATATTAATCGTTATGTCTTTTCATTTTAGCAAGTATTTAAAATTATTTGGAATTTGTTTAAATTAAAAAATTATACCAATCAAAGAACGTGTATATAACGAAGTATATAAAATTCTATTATCGTATTGTTTACAGATTCAATAACTCGTGTAATTACTTTTATAGGAATATATTTTATTTTTATATTAAAAGTTATGTAATTTACATATTGATCATTACATGCATGTATTAGACTTTTTTATTACTACAAAAAAATATTTGATACGAAATTAAAAATAAGATGAAGAAACCATTGATATTAAAACTGTTTTAAAAATAGAATTATAAGAAAATATAATTTTTTTTTGAGAGATACAAATTTGTTAATACGGTGCCTTAAAATGATTCATATTGGTTTGCAGTGACATACTGATATTGATGACCTACTTGTTTACTGCAGCGATACACTACAGACATAATCATCGAATAATTACAATATAGAATAGTAGAGGTTGTATCTCTGCATGTATCTCTTGATGTGCATTCATTAACTATCAATTGAAATTAATATACAATGACTGTGATAGATTACTATGCCATAAATCACAAATGTTAATAATGTTGATCAACAATATTATATATCAATGCATATTGTGTGTGAAATATTAATAGTGAGAGCATAATTTTATTTGAAAGCTATGTAATTCATCCATCTCTCTAAATCTCATAATTTATTCGTATCGATGATATATAAATGTATAATCAACAATACTTAGCAGCAATATTTAAGATAATCTTTATTAATGAGTTACATATTATTTAACTTTATAATACACTTTTATTCATAAACTGAATGATTATGAAAAATTGCTTTGAAATAATATGAGATTTTTCGTAAATCGGAATTTGAAATCTAGCTTTATTTTAAAATTTACAGATTTAAAAACATATTAATTATATAAGGAAACAAAAAAAGTATTAAATTATCGGAAGGAGGAAAGACAGATTATAAAGCATTAATTAACAGATAAAGAATAATGGGAAATTAATATCATCGATTAAAATTAAAACTATATAATAAAATAATAAAGATACATTTTATAACATTTCAAATAACAATTTATAAGAAATAGGATTTATTAATATATCTTAAAAAAAGTATATATCTTTCTAAATATTAAACAATGTATTTAATTACAATTATATCATTTGTACATTTTTATAATGAAAATTTAATATTTGATAATTGTTATAAAACTTCGAGATTAGTTTAAATGAGCATTAAAAAATATACTTAAAATTGAAAAAATCTTGAAATATTTCCCAAATTTACTTGCGGAGGCAATAGAGAACACGTCAACAAATAACGAAAGAAGTTGTTGTTTCATCTACAATCTTAAAGAGTAAGTAAGTTGCAGACAGTTTGTTGAAAATGTAATCCGCTGGAATTTTGCGCCCATCTTATATCTTAAATCGATTTCGCTAATTTTAATCATTTTTGAAGTGTATATAGTCATGAATACCAAATGAATGTAACAGGATACCATTAAGCTTTTCTTCAGAAGATCTAGATGATCGTGAAGGGTTTAAGGATTAATTAAAGCCATTAATTGGAACATCAGTTTATCATCGATGCTGTGCAAATTATTTCATCGTGCATAAATGCAAGCGATGAATCGCGATCGGCGCAAAATTGTGCTCGACATACTCGGTAATCGCGCGAGGATTAACGCGATACGCGGCTTCCGCGCAGCATGTAAAATGAATAATTAATATATTCAAATGAAACGTACTTAAACTATACAGCGCCACTCATCCGCCTCTCACCATCCTAATACGTAATTCGCATCCACGTGAACGAATATACGTACATCCCCGCACGCGCGTTACCATCGATCGTGTAAACAGCGGTTTTCGCGACCGAATCTCCGGCAAAGATATACGGATAAGGGAAATAACCTTTTCTGTGAGTCAAATGTGCCAGACTATGATAATACGAGTTTTTTCTTTTCCTCGCTCGGGTACGCGATTTTTACCTGGTGCAAGCAAATGATTGCACCACAAGATAGGCAAAGATGAAGTAAACGATACACTATGTAAAATGGTATTTTTCTTCTGAAAACTACAACAACTACATGCAAATCGTTTAAGTATTACCATATCTGTTTTCATGCATAGATTCTCCATCGAACTTTGACTTTAACATTTTCCTAACGTAAATGTCATAGTATTCACAATAATTCTTGTACTATAAATTATTGAAATTGACCTTTTTTTATGGAAATTAAATCTAAACTGTATAAAAATAATGAAATTTTATAATAATTTTATAATAATTCTATATCTCATTATTAATTTTGTATTTTGAGAATTTTAACGTAGATCTCATTTATTAAAACAATATTGAACATTTAGGAAGTTGGGGAACGGTCTCGCGTTAAATCCTGCTGAAATAAATTTGCAAATATTAAAGAATTACAAATTTGTAAATATTAAAGAATTTGTTACGAAACTGACGAAGATAACATGTTTTTAAAAATTCAGTAACATTATAACATTTACGTTATTCCATGAAAATATAAGTGAATTGTAATATTCATGTTTATACTTACAATCTCTTTGCAATTTTTTTAATGTAATTTACAAAAGTTAGGCAAGTTAGGAGGTTATATGTAGAATATGTTACTGTATAAATTTTTTCAATTATGTTATTCATTTATTCAAGAAACATTGACTTTGGTCAAAGAATATAAAAAGGAATACAAATATAAAAAGGAATACGAGCACTATGTTGTACATATTTAATCACATTGTAATAATTATATTGTTATAAATAATATAATTAAATTTTAAAACTTTAGCTTTTATTAGATTTACCTCAAAAAGAATAATATATATTTATTAAATATATAATTGTTAGACAACAGATTAATAAATAATATAAATATTATTTGTTAATTTGTTCAATTCTGACATATCTCGACTTATCAACATAACAAATATATATGTATCTCTTTGTTGCAGATTACTTTAATAACTTCTGGATTCTCAATCCGAATGCATTCACAGAGCATGGGTTGCAGTAGACATCGACAGACAGGTGTACAAATGCGAGGATGCAACTCTGTTTCACTGAGATTACGTATCATCATCTTGATTAGTGACGAGTCAGTGTGTATTGCGTGATTCTTTTTTTGATAATATTGAACAATAATTAATGAAGTTTTGCGTCGCAACATTAGTGATGCATGACACACATTTCCGTGTACGTACGTCATTTCGAAAAGCTTGAAAATTGAAAACTCGTGTGACAATTTCGGCATAAATTGAAAAAAATGAATAAAAATCAAAGCAAGACGCTCTCAAGGAGTTCGAAAAGTTGGTGAATAGAAGATTCTTCATCGAGATAAAAATTTACTAAAGTGGGCCACTAGTGTACAGATTATTAATTTACTTTCATTGAGATAAATCGAGAAAAACTTTTCGCGAAGACTTCGTCTTTTGCTCATCGCTGCCTGATGGTGAAGAATATCCGCTTGTCGATAAGACAAGACAGATTCTGTGATGGTGGAGCCAATGACAAGTTGTACAGTATAAGTTCCTGCAGAACTTTATCTACCAGAAGAGGAGCATCTTCTTTCGAAGCAAATTTTTATTTCCGCGGAAGCTATGACGTCATACCATTGAGGTAAATTTTATTATAATATTTTAAATGCGAAATAAATGCACCATTATTAAAAATGTATTAAATGATACTTTATGGGTTGTTATAAGTTCGATTATTATGAAGTACAATATTGCTTTTAATAAATTATGTGTAATGTATAATATCTCTTACACAATATGAAATTTTCAAATATTTTCACTACATAATAATACATCATAATGCACACATCATACACGCGCGCGCGCGCACACGCACGCATACAAAATAATATGTATAATATATCAAAATTCATGTTTTTTTAGTTTGTGAATTTAAAGTAATATGATTTACGATAAATAATTTAAAATACCTTACATATATTTAGTTTGATTGTAAAATATCTTTTTCTTTGAAAGAATAATATTCACTAAAAGTTTTCACTATATATCACAGTTTTTACTGTAAGTATTATTTCAGAAAAGAAAAAGCTTGACAAGTAGAGCAGTGCTGAGTATCAACAAATATCATGAAAAAAAACTTGGTACATTTTGCCATTGCGGAGAGAAGTCCTAGGAAGGGGAAAACACAGTAAAATATGACGTAAAAAATAATTAACGACAAATAATAAATTATTTCAATTTGCTTTAAACCAAGTTATCGTGTTTCATTTGCCGTTTAATTTTCAAGAAACAAACAAAAAAATTTAAATATTTTTTAATGGGTGTATAAAAATTTATACACGTTACGAACAGTAAATATAAAAATTCCTGTAAATCTATCTTACTTTATTAAATTTATTATTTTATCATGTGTTTATAAAAATTTGTAAAGAATTGGAATATATTCCTTTAATTGTTTCAAATATTTTTAATAACACAATGAAAGTTTCTTATTTTAAAACACAATAAGTTTTAGAACGAGTTAAAAGAATATTTAATTAAAATGTTTCAATTTGTCACATTTTCTTTTTTATAGAAAAATAAATTTATATTATATGAAATTTACATTCTTATTTTAATTAAAGACAAAAATCTTAAAGGCAAATGAGCAAAGATATGCAAATATGCAAATTCTTTTATATTTCTAAAGATGAATTTTTTAAATTTATCTTTCTCAGGGTATCTAATTTTTTCCTGAACAAGAAATAATTAAATGCTTATTTAAATAATTAATTCTAATTAATAATATTTCTACTTTTTTGACTGATATATTACACGTGAATATTTCTTGAAAAATATAAAATTTTTTATATTGCAATTCAATAATGAAAGTAGACAAAGACTATTAAAACGTTCAGACTAATTATCACACGCCAATAATTGAGGAGATAATTATGAATGCAAAATAACAAAGAAATATCTCTTTGTGCTCTTTATTTTTTCCTTCTTCCTACCTCTATCTTCCTCTTTATTATTCCATCTTGCAATTTCATTCCGTGAAACTCCCGGCTTAGAAGTGCTTTTGTACTCAAAATACCACCATGAATTATTTGTGCGCTATTCGCTGCATTACACCGCGTCAGAGCGAAGCAAAAGAGGATAGAAAAGAATATGAAAGGGGAGCCAAACGAATTACACGCTAAGAAACGCGCAAAAGTAACGAACATTCTGCATGACTTGACCGAAACTTGTAGAAACAACCTCGTTATAACTTTCAGGCAATAGGTGGAATCCGAAGGACGACCCCAAACAGATGTCCGGACTAATGCGATTGTACACGGTGTCCTAAAGGTACATAGCGTGAAATATGAAATTAAATTAAATCTAAATTTAATCTCTATAATTGGAGTAATTATGGTAATCTGTAAAAAATATTATAAAAAGATGTAAGTCAGTTGATCAAATCAAAATGTTAAAATATTACTTTATAATATTACTTTAATATATTTGACATCGAGATATTATGAGATAATTATATTAACATTTCCTCTTTAAACAAATAGACTGATCATATTTTTAATGTATTAAAATTTACAGCTGTTACTACAGTACCACTATATTGCGAACCGAGCGAAACTAGTTCATCAGTTTGGCAATAAGCGTGACAACGACATGTCTGTTTTACTATGCATCGTGAATAATTTTAATTAGTGAAATTTAATTATATAGTAATGCGTTAAATCAAAAGATCCGCCAATTGACATGCGCATTACCTAATGAAAATACAAATGTAGATAAATGAAAATATGTCTGCGTTTAACGTTAAGATTTTCTAAATCTAAACTTTTTAGATGAAAAATTGATCGTTGAACAAATGTATCTTGCTTTTTCTTTCATATTTTAACAATTTAATTTTATCTTTTTGATGATTAAATTACAATAAATAGCGCAAACGAAAATTCTATGGGAATAATAAGTAGCGCAAACGAAAAATTCTATGGAAAACTAAGACATAATACAGAAACAAATATTTTGCCAATTTTCTGCAAGCATACATACATCGCGTAACAGGTACATATTCGCATAGTATTTGCAGTACTCTGAAAAGAAAAGTATTTTTACATGCAGTGCGTTCAGGACACCATGTACAGAATATGGAAGAGGATGGGTCCAATTTGGATATAGCCAAGGATGCTTCTTCTTCGTCGAGGAAGTACCTGTTTCCTTTTCTTTTCTTCTTGTTAGTTACCTTACGGCAATGGCGTATTTCTCTACTATTCAAAGCAGACTATCCAATATTCGCGGTACGTATTGACGTAAGTGCCAACAAGGATTTGCAGCTTGTTTGCTAAGAGCAACCGAACGCTCGACCTAGTTAACGGAAAGTCGTGCAATTTTCTGCACAAATAGACTGGCGTGTAGTCTCTTGTATATTCGCGGAATATTTAATTGCATTCAGAATCCATTCTTCTTTGTGAAGCGCATTTTATTTAATAAGAACTACTGAGCGTCCGAAGATTATGGAGATGTAAGTAAATAATCGACTTGTTTTATATAATGCCAGCTGATGAACATAAATCTATAACAATTACTTTTTTTGAAAGTTGTTATCGAAATTAACGTTTAAAGAGAGATTTAAATGATTTTAAATCTTTAAAAACTTAACACATACAATAGAAAACGCGAACTAATTAATTCTTAAATTAATTAATTAATTAATTATTGATTATTTCAATACCTTTGTAATACATTTATAGAATTATTTTATTTATAATAATCACATAAACAACCGATTATTTTAATAGTTTAGGATTTCGCGTTTTTTATATTTTTATAACTATTATAGAAATGCTTTTATTATTTCGTGTAATAATTAATTTTACGTTATATGAGAAAGCAATAAAATTATTTGCCTTTAAATATCTCGATAAAAACGATATCGTGAAATAATAAGATATCGTCTCTTAAGAAAATTCCTTAATTTCTGCGAACGTTTGGAAAATCCAGGCGCGAATAATATTGGATATCCTCCAAATTGGACCATTCCACTTCTATAATATTAAATACATTACCGAAATTACATCAGATTACCAAGAAAATTGTGATGTGTGGAAACGTATCAAACGAATTGCGATGTACGTTAAGAGAAGTTTTATCTATATTCGTATAATATGTACATGTATATTATACACAGATCTATCGATCGATCACGATAAGATATATTTTTATATGTAAATATGGCGTTCCTTCTTGTTATCTTATTAATATTTTGCTGAGGCGGTAGATAGATATACTAACAAGACCGAAGATTTAAAGATTTACGAAGTGGTAAAAATATAGCCATCTCCAAGCTATGTAATTCGTAAATCTGATACGTAAGGAAAGGTTACGAGCAACGTGCAAGGAACGAAGATTTTTAATACAAATATATCCGCGAATATTATTAGGCACGATCGGTACTTCTCTTACTATTAATTTCAGAACTCACTGGATATTAGATTAATTAGACATGTCTGCCAAGAATAAATATCGACGTATAACGACGTTTCAAATATAACTCTTTACCGATTTTAAAATTACCGCACGGAAAGAATTTCTGTCGGACTTGTTACTGCCACATTAGACATTATTCCAACACGACGTTAAAATATCGTATAATTAATTAAATTGACATTAATAATGGTTGTTAATTAAATTTTATTAATTAAACTCTGCCGAAATTTGATGATATAATATGTTAGAAATACGACGTAGAGTTAAAGATATTAAACTTATAAAATCACAACATATAAATTCTTGAAAAAAAATTATTTGCATCATACAAAAGAATTTTTTTATCTTTATAATTGTTATTTTAAGAAAAGAAAACGATAAAACTAATAATTATAACATAATTAACTCTTATAAAATATGATAATATTTTATAACATTTTCTAAAATATATAGTAAAATTTGAAAGATTTATAACAATATAATATTCAAACTTAAGTTTTGAGATCTTCATCTCAATAATATCTAATCTTTCAATGTGATAAAAGTGTATTAAATGAATTCTCTATAATTCTCTATAATTTTATAATAAACAATCCTAGCGAAAAATAAACTATCAAATTGCCATCGATTCGATATTTATTTCTCGCTGAGATATTATTCATCATATCTTTGTCTTTCATACGTTCTATATTTTTAATTGAAAAAGCGCTTAAATATATATATCATGTAAATAACTTCATAAATCACAGACAAGTCGTTAGCTGAATATAATGCCGATCTTGTCAGATTTCCTAAGATCTAATTAGTCGATAGGATTACCTTATAGGGCATCGTTGTAAGGATTAATCGTTTCGTGACGAGGAATCCTGATACGAGTTGCAGCCGATCCTCTCTTATCACCGGTAACGCTCTGAATCCTATATCATCCTTATCAACCGTTTCACACACTGCCATGATATCAGCTGAATGTACCAATCGTGCCTAACATTGTTGTATGACAACTATATATATAAAATGAATATCCTTTTTTTGAGTGCATGTGATATCTATGTTACAAATGACAAAGAGATCAAAGATGAGGAAAACTTCTCTGGAAAGTCTTTTTTTTATGTCAAAAAAGATATTTATAGTTACAGTATACAAATCTCACCAAAAGGTTTACATTTTATG